GGAGCTCTGAAGCTGGCCATGAGCACTCAGCAGGGAGGAGGGAGGCAAAAAAGTTGTGGAAAAAGTAAGGGTGAGAACCCCATCACCTTCTGAAACACTCTGCCCTGACATTTCACTGTGAAATGTCATTTTCAAGTGGTGTTTCTAACCACACATCTTTCTGTTTATGTTTCTTCCCATCTTTCTGCAAATCCTCTCTGGAGAATGCATGGACATTATTGGGGCTCTGAGAAGCTCAGTGGTTTGTTTTCCCTGCGAAGCTGTTCCCCTCCCTCCCTGAATCAGCTGCGTTCCCTCGGGAGGACTCCTTCCGCCCCCTTTGCTGGGTTGATCTCTTTGGGCTGTGGCTGCTCTCAGCCTGATGCCGTGTGCCGCAGCAGCCACGGCTCTTCTCTGCTGCAGCAAGTGCTGCCTCCGGACACTGCCTCCCCTGGGGGATCATTAGCAGGGTGGAGGCTCTTTACTTTCCTAGAAACAGGAAGAGAAGAAGAGCCTGAGAGATGGGAGGCCTAAACAAACTAGAATTAGATTACAGTATGAACTCCATGACATCAGCTCCCTTCAGTCTTCCCACCCATTGGCTTTCTCACGGCATTTCTGCTTAGGCTGATCAGGATCTGAAGATACCCATAATAAAATGATAATTCTTTCGTGGTCCAAAGGGCCAGAGCTGTCATTCCCAGTCCCCACAACTGACAAGTCAGGAGTATGGAGAGCTGCACGTTGAACCACACAGGTAACTGCATTTATCTAACAGGCCAAAATTCAGAGCACTTCAGAACTACTGTCAAGTGATATATTCACATTCGAGTCTTGTAAATTTAAATAAAACCTACAAGGACTAATGAGATTTTTCCATCCTTTCACTGCTAGCTCCTTTCTACAGCAGTTATTCCTCACACTTTGTGTGCTTGGTCTGTGGAACTATGCCATTCACTTGTGAATTATGTGCTGGATGCTTTTTGGCAGTAGTAAAGGTCTGAATAAGTAAAGTAATAAATATTTGGGTGTATTTCCCCTTTAATACAACTTTTTAGAAATTATAGGCAATATCAGGGAAAAAAAATTAGTGAAAGACCAGTGTTTCTGTGTCTTGGTAGCCTTGAATTTTTTTTCCAGGAAGGAGAAAAAAAGAGGCTAAGAAACCATTTTGGTTTCCTTTGGAGCCTTAGTGCCAGCTGGAGACAATGTGGATCTCCGTGTGCAGGAATCCAGGTTATGTATGGATGTTGTAGGTCCCAGTTCCATGTGCTCCCAGACAAACCAAGGTTTGGATTCTCCAGAGGGGCTGGAATGAGTTCAGAGTCACTGCATGAGCTGCAGGGCTGTGAAACTGGCACTTACCTTTCCAACCTTGCAGACAACATCTGCTTACTCAGGCTCATTGTCTCGCTCCTGGAATTCCTCTTGCCCCCAGCCATGTTTCCTGCCTCTAGAAGGTGTTTCGTGTCTCTGCAAGTTCTGAGGCACTTCCAGACAGTTTGGGATATGCAAATTCCTCTCTCTCAGGAATGGTTCACTCCAAGGATTTAACCTGTGCACCTGTGCCAGCACTTCTCATCTCCAAATACATGGACTGGGGATCTGTATATCCATTTAACTTCCTACCAATGGAATATAATGAAACGCCTTCAGTTAAAAAAATGCCGACAATTTGTGGGATGGAGATGAGTTCCGTATCCTCATTCGTATTCAAAGCTTGTGGCCAGACTCATCTCTGTGTAGAAGAATAGGGTAAAACTTACATGGAGACAGCCAGGAGGTTGCATGTAGTTTTTGAGCTTCAGGTTGGCATAGGAATAATGAATAAAACAATGTCATTTGACTCTGCTATGTGCTAATTATGTTCTGACACACTCCCTTGCCCCTCAGAGAGCTGTGGAGGTGATGTTCTGTCTGTCAGACAGCAGATAAGATTTGCCAGGTTGTTTTTTGGAGCAGTTGATACCAGCAGGTTCTGTGGTGGAGTTGATATCCTGCTGCTTCCTTCAGCTGCAAGATCACAAATTCATATGGTCTGTGATGTTCGGAATGGAGATACAAGACCTCCAGCATATCCATGGATGTACTGGAGGGTCCAGGTGCTTTGCTCTGAGCCAATTCTTAGCTGGAAAATTGTGCTATGAATAGAAGCTGTATTAGTGAGGGCTGTACTCTGCAGGTGAGGCTCAGATTTCTTTCGGAGACACAAGAATCCAAAGAGCCATAAAGGTCTGTCAAATTAATATCTTGCACTTGCCCAGGTGTCACACCCCATTGAAATGGGATAACTTTGTTCAGTCCCTGAGGCAGTTGTTGCATATTAACGTTATACATTGCCCTTCACTGTGCTCCAGTTCCCTGTGGCTTCTGCTCCATCAGCAAAGGCTTCCTCTTGGCTTTCTCATTTGTCTTGTGGAAACTTACATACAGATCCATAGGTGTATTTTTATATATATTATATATATTATGATAATACAAAGCAGATTGTAAATAATTTTTGAATACTTTGAAATAATTTCAAATAATTTGGAAATCCTTTGGACAGAAGTGACTCTTGCCATTGATCGCTATCTTTAAATTTTAGGCATGTCTTGTAAGTCTTGTACGAAGAGAATGCATTGTTGAAGTAACCACCTGAGGAAAGGCCAGAACTCTTTTCCTTCCATTTTTTTTTCTCCCAATCTGGTTCTAGGTCTGGCAGCACTCTAATCTGGGAGGGAATGAGATGTCCCACTCAACAGCACCAGTACCTTTAGATTTCCCCCTTGAGATAACGCTGTGTTTTTGTAGGAGAGCTGTCAAGGTTTTGGTGCGGTGACATTTAGCTCCCATGTCACCATTATAAAATTGCAGCTGTTCCTCTTAGGAACTCCTGGATGCTTGTTTAGATGCTGAAGGCAATGCATTAGGAACTGATGGTGAGTGATTATTATCCAATCAGTTCCTGATGCAGTATCTGCGACATCAAAAACTCTGCAGTGGTTTTGATTTCCATTTTTAAATTTTAAATATCAAATGTTGAATCTGAACAAGGTCAGTATGCTAGGAATAAAAAAACTTCAACTTAATTGCACTGCTCAGTTTTTAAAGGAAATTTATACCTTTTATCTAAGAAATGCTAAGAATAAATATTACCAAGAATCTGGGTAGCACTGCTGAAGAACATTATACATATTTTGCAAGTTTTACTTTTTAGCTCTTCAAACTTGTTGTTTGGTGGTTGATTAGTAGAACACAAATTAGTCAGCAAGTGTGTTTTGCTCCTCAAATGGGCAGGAAATGATGTAGGCCTGCAGCAGGGCGAGTCTGCAAATTCACTGTGTGTGAGCTGTGAAATTCAGAAGAAGCTCCAATCCTGTGCCAGCATGGGTGGGCTTTCTCTATGCAGCACTTTGGCAGTGAGAACTACAAGCTAATGTTACTGTCCCATATCTCACACTTGTGCTGGATCTAGAGAAAACATTGCATTGGAAAGGAATAATCTTGTTCCAGACCTAAGCCTTTATAGTTAGTCCTGCTGTGTCCTCTGGATGGGTGTGTGCCAGGGATGTTTGTCCATTTGCTGTAGGTCTGGATGTACTGAGAGCAAATTGCACACCCCACTTAAGCAGCATATGGTCATCACAGCCCTCAGACATCAGCAGTTCTTCTTCTGCCCTCTTCTGTTTGAAGGTCAATGATTTTGGAGACAGTTGGGGTTTTTATTTCTGTTTCAGGTCTAGAAAGGAATAATCTGAAATGTGTCTGACTGATTTAATGAAGCTGCTCTTCCCACGGGGGTGCCCTGGTTGTATTTAACTGGTAACTTGTTACTGCTTTCATGGCACATATGGTCTGTCCTGAAATACTCTTCAGTCTGTGTCCCACAGATATTTTCACTAACTTCAGCTTTGGGTATGGAAGATAGATGCTTACAGTGGACAGGGTAGTGTCAGCTGACTAATGAGAATGAGAACTAAAGCCATATAAATGTTCTGCACAAGCTGCACTTTTACATCACAGATACTTCTGTTAGCAGTTCCTGAGGCAGCAATAGTGTCCCTTCATCAGGGCTGTTTCAGACAGGGAATTTTATCTCAGAACAATTTTCTTCTAGAATTCTGCAGGAGTAAAAAGATGTCATCAGGTCATACCTGATCTTGTTGAGCATCAACTTCTGTACATCAGAGTGAGCCCTAGTGTAAAACAGGAATATTTTCTGGCAGGCTACACATGCTCCCTGGATTCTCACTCATAAATAAAATTTAGGGATGTATCTCTAAGGATTGGCCATCTGGAAGTCTCAGCAACAAAACTGCAGTGTAATAAATATATTTTATGTGCTCTGGCTATATATAATATTTCTTTCTGCTATGTATCCATAGGCTAACTAGAGCCATCTAATGTTAATGGGAATCTTGTATTGATTTCTGCATTTTTGAATTGTTCCTCTTGAGCAGGGGAACTTCAGCTGTAGACAAGTTACAAGAATCCTGACTGGTTTGAGTTGGGATGTTACCAAGGTCATAAACATGGGGAAAATGGATTGTAATTGTTTTGGGTAATGGAAAATTAAGCATAGAGGGTGGTTCTGGTGGAACAACAGCCTTTGAACTTGTGAAAAGTCTGGACACAGAACTGTGTGTATCTTAAAAAAATTGCAGATGCAAAGGATTAAGAACAGAAAAGTCATTATCAGCCCTACAGTTCAGGCCTAAATCGGTGGCTTCAGGAGATATTTTGGCAAGTAACAGTTTCACGGTGGCCAAAATGAGGTGTAACTTCAGAAAAAGCTGTGAACACAGTTAATGAAGAGATTGTTCTGCTGCTTCAGGATGCTGCAGCAGGGAAGCTGGGAAAGGCAGGAGGTAGCAAGGCAAAGCCTGGAGATCAATGTATGGTCTGGATAAGGCCATGGGGTTCAGCCTGTGTGTGTGCCGTGTTTGGGTTTTGTGCACTGCAGAAATGTCTCTTAGGTCTGTACTGAAGGTGCCATGCAGGTCTGCTAATCCATTGGAGCAAAGAAATTGCTGTGTTTAGCATAATCCCAGCTACAACTGTGAGAGAGTTATTAACTGCTCACAGTTGCCAGCTGAGATTAAGCCAACTCACAGCCATCCAGGTTAGGCCTGCAAGTGGGTTCATGTCAGCTAAATTTCTTCCCTGAATGTCCTATACAGGAAAAAAAATGGCATAATTCCACAGACAACACCTGGTGCTGTGGATATCTGTCATTAAAACATTTAGGTTCTCTCTGCATCTTCTCTGAGAGAACTATTATTAAGCAACTTGCGGAATAAACGTGGTTTACTTGGTGATCTTTGGCATGCTCCAGTCTGGGTGTGAACTGATAAAGCAGACTTGTTCTTTCTGGTTCAGCTTATTTGGCTTCCCTTGTATAATAAGGAATACAATAAAACACCCATTCAAGGGAGTTCTTGGACTTCTGAAAAAAAACCATTTATATAAAACATCTAAAAATGATGTGCCTGTTTCTTCAGCTCCTTCACTTACCTCCTTCACTGCTCCTGGAGCTCTGCTGAGCAGCACCCTCAAGCCAGGGTAGCAAACCTGGGTAGGGTGCTCTAACCAAACCCTGCTATCCTGTTGGGCACTAAATCTCGCATGTTTAGAGATAAAGTGCCAGAACTACAAACAAGAAAATAATCAAAAAAGATGGATGTACTTGAGACATCTGATAACATTAGAAAAAAAAGCAAGTATTGAGACATTGTTGTGGACAAAAGCTGTATGAAAGTTTTGTGGAAGATGAAGTAAAACACCAAGTTGTTTCCTAGAGGTGTTTACCTGCAGGACACGATAAAAAGATCCTTCCCTGTGTGTTTCATTGTGGTTTGCTGCAAGCACAGCACACTGAAGCCAGGAGAACCAACAGTTCATTCCCTGCAAGAAGCCTCTGGCTGCTGGAGGGGCAACTGTGGGCCCACAGGCAATTCCAGGGAAATCCTTGTGCTGCCTGAGCCCTCCACTAAACAACAGGGCACGTGCTGGGATCAGGGGTTTGTGCAAGGTTGCTTTCCTTACCTTACCCACTAAAGCCATGAGGCCACAGAGCACGGCCTGGGCCATCACTGATGGGGAGCTGTTGGATTATCTCTGGAATCAATTCCCAGCAGCCTTGGAACATACTGGTGAGGCAGCCGCTCGGAAAGTCCTCAGGAACACCGAGCTTCCGCTGGAGCAAACCAGAGGCAGGTCTGGCAGGTGGTCTGATTATGTTTGCTCAGCCAGTTCCACAGTATTTGCCAGACAAAAGAAGGCATCAGGTGGTAGAGAAAGTCCTGAACAAAGCTCCAGATGAACACAGACTTTCTCATTTGTTGCAGATCTGGGAAGGTGAAGGGAAAGGAGAAGGCACAAGGAGCAGGAGATGCATAATTTCTGTTGGTTCATGTGTGGCAGGCTACTAAACACTGCACTGGGGAGAATTATGATTTCTTTGTGTTTCTTTTGTAGTGCTTCAGTTGTTTTCCATTGGTGACCAAAGAGTAACAGCTGTGTGGGTCAGTTCCTGTAGCTGCTCTTCTTGTTCGGTGGTTTTTGGCCAGTGCCCTTTCCTTGCTGCTAGCCCTGCATGCAGTGCTGGCTATAAGGAAAATACCATTTTGGCACAGCACTGAAAGCAATCCATTTGCTGTGGGTGAAGGATGGCTCTTAGATTAGAGTTTCTTCAAATTTAGGCCTCCAAATGTGTGATTGTGGAACTTTTGTAGAAGCAGAGGCTCCAAAGGAGTAGGAGGAGACCATTTCTAGACAGGAATTTAGACAAGTCCTACAACAACATGGTAAATAGATATGGATTAATAGCACAGAAGGTCCCGGCCCAGGTTAGATGCTTTTCTGCCTCATAGCTTACCTATGAGTGAGAAGGTGCTCAAAGTTCCTGAAAGGCTGGACTATCCTTTCCCTTATCTCTTGTCCATGAAAGTCTTGTGGTAAAAAAATGTTAATCTTGCTCTAACACATGTAATCCTTTAGTTTAAACTCTGTCTCACATTGCAGAGGAGACAGAGCAATTGCACCCAGGCAAGCTCAGCCCTGGCACTTTAATTTTTTATTGACTCTTCAGCTCTTCAGCCTTGATAAACAGAAGTGCACAGCTTTTTTCTTTTATTTTACATGCATGTAATAAGATTATTGAATGACTGTACAACTGATTCAAAGATAATTTAGAACGTCCAGTTCAAAGATCAAATTACGAATCTTCAATTTTTTTTGGTACTGTAATTTGCAGTGCAAACCTTCAATTGAAAATTCAGACATAATGGGGGTTTGCTTACATTTGGAGTTGGATAAGCGAAAGGTGGTGCTCAGCTCTACATGTTGCTAAAAGTAAAGATTCAGACTTTTTTTTTTTTTTTAATCAGTAATTAAGAGATAATCACTGTTTGAAACCTGGGCAGCTCATCAGGAAGAGAGCTCTGCATTCACTGGTGACTTGCTGCAGCTTCAGATTTGTGTTACCAGTTTGAACACTCTCCTTACTGGTGGAAAGTGTTTAAGAATTTTCTTTCTGTTCTGCAAAAAGGGTTTTTTTTTAGTCTGTGCTATTTAATTTTCCACTATTGCAGCATGATGGGTTCCAACTAGTCCCCTAGCATTAGTGCTCAATTTGTATGTCTTGTTTAAAAAGATTTGCTTGTAAATAGGGAGATGGAAAGAAGTCATTAGAGAAAGGATGAAAAGCTTCTGGAATAATCCCATGGAAGACAATGCAAAAGCTCGTCTTGATTTCACTGAGGCAAGATTTTATCCAGCAAATAATAAGTGCACATTATTGTCATTAGTGTAATTGCTACAGTTTTTTGATGAACTCTTGAAACTTGCTGAAAATTTATTTTTTTCTTACTTTTTAAGCATTTTGAAGGTGAAGGTGTGAAAGGTAGTTTTGTCAGGATGACAAGAGAAGAAGTATTTAAAATTATGTCAGAAACTTAAAGCATACAAGATAACCAAAGGAGCCTCTTAACCAGAACAGTCATAAGAAGAAAACAATATAAAATAATCAAGGGATTAAAATTTGAGATTAGCCTGGAGTATTCTAGCACTGATTTGAGTCGGTGCTTGGAATGAAGCTTTGTTTTCTTCCTCAGGACTGGATTTGCCAGCATAGCTTCTTTTTGGGGCATTTTTAATCAATCCATATGGAAGGACGGGTTCCATCTTATTCATCAACAGCAGTTTGGGAAATGTTTTGCACTGTTGATGTCTCTGCAGCGCTTGGGCTGGCTGAATTATTGAAGAGGGATTTAAAATATTTGAATGGTGTATACAGATAAATGATTTTTAAAAATCATACAAGGTAACTAATGTTTTTATTGCACAGCATTTTATGACTTAAGCAGTGAAGACTCACAAGACAAGAACAAGTTGGCTCAATAGAAACAAGGATAAATTGTAAGGGTCTGATTTGGGACAATGCATTTGTTCCAACTGCACTTTTGCCTCCAGTCCAGAACTAATACATAAAGCTTATGTTGAATCCAAACTTGGTATTGAAATGAGGGAGGCTTTGCCATTGTTTGGAGTTATTCTGGGATGTCACCACAGGTTTTATTTGCAGATGCTGACAAGTCAATTGTACCCACGTGCACAATTATCAACTGTAATCATGGTATTGCAAATGCTTGGCCTCATTATTTGTCAATTAACACTTGTTTGAGAAGAACAGATTAAATCCATGGCCTTATTTCAGTCTTTATGTACATTCCAATCTAGAATGAAAGTGGCAACTCTTCTGGAAGAGTAGTGGTTTGCTGGCAAGTTCTGGGAACTGGAAATCTGGTAATGTAGCAAGGGTGTGCAGACTAAGAATATATTTCTTGTAAACAGGGAGAACAGAGGAGATGTAAAATGAGGAAGTAATAAAAAGTGTGGAAATCACTGATCCTTTACAGTTAGGGGTGGAGCACAGCTGCTGGATTTTGTGGAGTGTTGCAATGGGAGCCCAAACCCTTCCAAGAGGTCCTGTCTGTTGTACCCAAGTAGAATCAGGTTTCTGTGCCTCCCCCTGGAATAATGTTCCTGTACTGGAAAAGATCCACACCTTCTCCACTGCTCCCTTTCCCTGTAGCTGCTGGCAGAGCAGCAACCCTGAGGAAGAGGCAGCTTGGCTTCCCCTGTACCTGCAGGAGCTGAGGCACAGCCTGAGTGGTACCTTTCCATCTCAGGGAGATATTTGACTTCTCAGCAGGAAGCAAGTGGATATGAGGGCTCTTCAAAGGGACAAGTGCTGTCCGAGAGTCCTCCAGCAGAGCATGAACTGAGAAGATCCAGGTCTTTCACTTGCAACTTGGTAAAATCGTAATCCCGCTTCCTCTGTCTTCTTGCATGAAAAGCTCAGCATCACCATGGATGTCCTTTCACACCAAATTGTCCTTCCAGCCAAAATTTGTGGAAGTGTTGGTCTAGTGGAGCGAGTGTCCTGGAGTGTATAGGCACAGGTTCTAGTGCAGGTACCTGACCTGGGAATGCATTTCTGAGGAGGATGAATGCCTGGATGTCTCATGAACAAACATCTTTATGAGCCCTGATAAATATTTGTCTAATTAATTTGTTCAATGTCATTGCAGTAGGATGAACTAAAACTTCACGAATATCAGTTCTAGGAACGTTTTTAATAACAAAAAGAAAAGTTACTTTATTCCTCCCAGGAAGGCGTTCATTGCTGGGTATTCTCTTCTTTCAAAGTGGGTTATTCTTGCTTCTTGATATGAGAATGTTCATCAGCTGAACAGGTCTTCAAAGCATCATCACTTTAAAAAAGCTGAACTCATCTGGTGCTGTATGAACTGATCACCCATGAAAACCCAGCAGTGATTCAGCTCAGTTAAAAGTAGGTGTAGCCTAGTAATGGAATATTAAGCCCTCATAGTTGAAAAATAGCCTATAATAACTTTGTCCTTTAATACTTTTTCCAGTGTCTAGTTGGTTAATTTATGTAGGTTTTATGCTTTTGTTTTCAACTTTTGACTCATGAAAATTATTAAGTAAAAAGTTTGCAGTCAGCTCCATACTGCTTGGGCAATTTGGATGGAATTCAGCTCAACTCAGCAGAGGTGCAGAGGCTGAAGAAGTGAATAGTTTATAATTAGTGTGCACAAAGATGCCAGATTGTAGAATCTCTACAGGTAATTGTGAGATTGCTATAAAGACATCACACTTGCCTGCAGAGATTTCCCAGTCTGTGACTTCTATCCAGGTTGAAGAAGAGAGAGAAATGTTTCCTTTCCGCTATTCCATGTAATATTTTAAATTGAATTTTGAATAAGAAGTTGAAGAAGATTCTGTCACTGAAAGATCAGCTATAACTCAATAAAACTAGATAATAAGATTGATAGTTTCAGTATTGTTTGGATCTGACAGTCTGCATTCCCAGTGGAACTCAGGCCTCCAAAGGTTGCATTTTGGATGCCTCCCAGTCACCTGTGACTGAGAACAGCACCTTTCCTCTAAATTTCTGTGGTTGAGTGCTTCTTGCCCAACTCCATTACTTTTGTTTGGCCTCTACTGACCCTCAACACACCTTCTATTTGTAATCAAGTGGCAATGATCTATTTTCTCTAACCTCTCTCTAATTGTTTGCATTGGTAAGGAGAGAAAATTTGAGTGTTCTCCAGTGGCCATCACCATCCCTTTGGCTGCAGCCATGAGCAGTTTCTCTGGTACAAACCTCTCTCCTTCAGTCCATGTAATTCTCACCTCATTTATGACTCTCCCACTTGTTATGTCTTGTTGTGCATTTTTACATTTAAATTGGGCATTCTTTGAGGCACAGATTATGAATAGACTTGTACTGTGCAGGGCTTTAAAAAGGGGGAAAAAATACAAATGAATGAGAGGACTATAGAGTTTCTAACCTTCTAATTTCAAACAGTAAGCACAGGAAATAAAAAAAAAAGAAAAACAATACCCTACTTTAATACTCTTCTTGTGAACAGCAAAGGAGGCTATAAAAGCCTCAGATTAATTTACTCAGTTCTGGTGTGGAACTTTCATTGTAAGAGATTTGTTTTTGCCAACACTAAGTGATCCAAAGAATTTGAAGGATGAGGAACAGATCTTAAAGTCTTTTGCTGTGAAAAATCTTTAATGTGCTTTAGAAGGGAACTAAAGCCTACTATTTGTTTTCCTTTGTCTTTTGGAAGTGAAAGGATATTTTGTAGCTAATTCTTAAAAAATCCATGCAAAAAAAGTCTCCCTGAGATGTGACTCACTGTGACTGCTTGTACAGTATAAACAAATGAGAAACAGCTTGTGTCCTTGCTAAGCAGATTATCAGGAGAGGTTGAAAAGGTTCTTTCTAGAGAACAACTCATTCTCGTCATTTTTTGTAATGCTCATGGAGCACTAGGGAAGGGGAAATGAACACCCAGAGACACATTTTCCCCACACCACACCCTGCAGCACCAGAGGAATCAGCTTGTATTTAGGCGAAAGAAATTTGGGGCATGGAACATCTCCTCATCCTGCCCATGCTGGGAAGGAACTACGCCATTAATGGAGTTGTGTTGCGCCTTCTGCATGGTCCCTGTCAGCACGGCAGCCTTTAACACAGCCAGTAATAATCCTTGTAGAGTGAGCAAATAGTTAAATGTATGAGGGAAAAATTCTCCAAAATACAGAAGGAAACCTTGCTGCTGTTACTGAGAGCTCTGCCATGGCTGCCTGGGATTGAGGGTTTGACTCTCCCTGTTTCAAACAATCAGGTAAAACCTGCAGAACACCCTTGTTAAATGATGTACTCTGTTCTGCAAATTAATGAGTGTAGTCAGCCAAATTCCATGTTCAAGGGAATGAAAATTTTTACTGCAAACTCTGATGCTGTGTTTCCAGACAATGAAATTAACTATTGTGTGGCTCTGGAAAACCCTATAATGAGCAGAAGACCAATCTGTTGCTGCATCCCTTTGATGTAAGGAACAAAAAATGGGCTGTGTGTGCTGATCCACTTCTAAGCACAAAGAGTAACTCCATCCTCAGGCTCTGAAACTTTGAGTTTCTAACTAACTTTTTTATAGTTAATTACTCATGTTAATATTTGCCACTAGTGACTTGAGGGGATGTTGCGTTAGGAAAATCACCATCCTAAAAGTGCACAAGGTAACACATTTGTGTGTATTTTACCAGGAGCTGGTTTTAGTATCTTTCCACTCCCTATATTTTGGTTTATATTGTTTTTCTGTCATTTCACTCCCATGTACCTCTGGCAGCGAGGAAAATAAAACTTCCACAGGGCTTCTCTGGTGCCCTGACTGTTGTTTCCCAATGATCTACAACAATGGTTATTCAGTAACAGCTGGGCCATGTCTTCTTTAGACAAAGCCACTGTGGGGCTGAAACCTCCCATTGCTGGAGCATAACTGTTTCCCTGGAAACGGTTAACTAGCACGTGTTTTATTGTTTCCAACTGCTTTCCTGGGGTATTTGCAGGTGGTAGAAGATGCTTTCTTAAAGAGGGGTCACAACCTCGTGAACTTTCAGATGTCGCAACAAATTGGGGGATAAAAACATTTTTTTTCTTTCAAATGGATTAAGTAAATCTTATTATCCAGCCTTTGCGAGACAGACGTAACTCGCAGTTTGATTTTTAGCATTATATCCAGATGCTGATACAAGCATTTCTGCTGTCAAAATTGTGTCTTGGGAATGGGAATCAAGACCCTATTCCAATAAGATTTCAAATAAAACCAGTGAGAACACGCAGACATTAAGATTACTGTGACTTTCTTTTGTCCTGGGTTTTTGTCAGCTGTGGTTTTTTGCCTGTATGTATTTCTGGTGAATTGGATATTTCAGGGATTTATCTTAAAAATGCACTTGGATCTACCAGAATTTTTAGGTTGGTAGATCTCAGGATTAATACGAAGTTATCTGTGAATATGGAAAGGATGATAACCATGAAAAAAGAACTTGCTTGATATTTTAAGTTGAAAAATATGAAAGTATACAATGCAGACACACATGCATTTATTTGTATTTCAGTACACAGAGAAGCAGAATTTTGTCAGTAGGAATTACATATTTATTTGTTTACTTTACCAAAATGAAATGTGCCTTACAGATGTATGTACTGAATTTATAAACATTTCTCTGTGGTACACAGGAATGCTTGAGCTAGGGTGGTTTGCTAAGGGGAGACAGTCCCAGGACAAAAGAGGGGGGCAAGTAACATGTAACACAGAGTAAAAATGTGGTTAAATTTTAATAAATGTAGCAAAATCCATTCCTAATCGAGTGGGATGAAGAGAGAGCTCCCTCTCCTGTCTGTTTGATAAAATTAATAGTGGTTATTTGTATGTTTACTTTGAGACATAAATAAAGATAATGCTTCAGTGACGTGCTGGAAAGCTTGTAATAAAAGGCTTCATCTCTCTGGAAAGAGTGAGAAGGCAGTTAAAGCTGATCTATCCTTTTTTGAGGCATTCTGAAACTCTTCTGTTGCACTGGTAGCATGAAGTCTTGCTTTGAACAAGGTGCTAGCTGTGTAACCTGATTTTATAGTGTGCTCTGAACTAGGCACACAACAAAGCTCCCCAAGCTTGGATGAGAAACTGTCCCAGTTTTCCTGAAATTAACTCTCAGCCCAGTGGCAGGTTCAAGCCCTCAGGATTGTGGTAAATAATTATTTTTTTATTTTTTGTTATCTGGAGAACAATGCATGTATTCAGGGCCTTCCTTCATGGAATTTGTTTAATGGCACATTTTTGAGATAGTTTTCTTGAAGGTGCAGCCATGGTAGGTGTTGCTGGGCTGGCCCATCTGCTGCCTTTTTTACAGAGCACATACCTCATTTGCAGCTTAGATACCCCTGGGCCTGAGCGGGATCCCAGGCAGATGTGGAGAGAGTGAGGACAAAGTTTCTGCCGCTCACAGTTGAGTTTTTCCAAAGATTTGCAACAGATCCAAGCAATGAAGAGTTAAAGGCTACTGGTGACTGAGTTATATCATCAGAAGAAAGCAAATAAGTCATATTATGGCTGAAATGCACCTCTGAATATGACTGTGCATCTTCTGAGACTGATTTTACAGATTGTAAAGTTTTTTTCTCCTGAGAAATGGGCAGTCGTGTATATATCAGTGACCAGTGTGACTTGGTTGCAAGCTCGTTTTCTATGGAAGCTTAATACAGGTTCCGTCCTGTATGTATCCATGGAAGTGCTTTGCTTCTCTTCCCTCTGTCCCACATCCCATCATTGCTACAGCTTCTGGCTTTTATGGGTTGCTCAGTCCCGTGACAGCAAGGATCATCATCAGTTACCCATGGATGCATCCAGGGGTTAAACCCAAAGGTCAGGCTGCTAAGTGACCACAGGACTGGACAAAATGTCCCTGCCCTGAGCCCTGACTGGGAAAGTCCCTCTTGGGACCTGCTTTGGAACAGCAGTAAGAGCAGGAAAATGGCTCCAGGGCCAGAGCACAAAGCAATTTGGCATAGAGATGTGCCGAATCCCAAGGGATTTTTAGGCAACACCTGGAGGAGACTTTGCTGGGACCTGTGGGGAGCTCAGTACCTGTCTACACTGAGCCCAGGTGACAAGGACAGTTGTCTGTTCCCTGAGATGGCTGTGTAGGTCGTTTGGTTTGTGCTGAACAAGGGTGTGGGAATGCTACCTTCTGCAGGGATACATCATGTGTGCCCTGAAGTGCTGGGTGAGAACACTGCTCATTTTTCACATGTGTTTCAGAACTATAATGCTTGATGGCCTCCTTCACTTGGGCTCATGACTGATGGCGTGAAAATGAAATCAAACTATATTTTTTGACAGATCCATTTCTTGTCTTGATCTCTACATGATCTGTTACAAGATATTTGTGTTGGGGAAGGGAAACTGAGCTAAAGCAAGAAAAGGAGGGAGAAAAGCAACAAGGTTGTACACTTGGCCTATTCCCACTCCCTTTTTTGAAGGGGAACAGCCTTAAATAAATTAGCCACATTTCAGGCCAATATGTCAAAGAAGAATGAAAGCATTATCCTAATTTTTTAATCCACAAACCAGGTAAAACCTTTCTGATACACAGCCTGCCTCATGCACACCCTGAGCTATAATCTTCAGGAGCATCACACTGGTTATGGCTTTTCCTTGTGATCTATGTGATATCAAATAATAAATAATTATGATATAGTTTTTGCCCACATGCTTGCTTTACTGAAGGTTTTCTGGCACCAGAATAACTCAGGCTAATAA